TGTACTGTGAAGGGAAGATCAAGGGCAGGCTTGGCACTAAATGGTTGTTCAAAAGTTTCCAACTTCTCTGAGTTTTCAAAAACAAAAAGTGAGTTCTTGTTGCTTTCGCCTTGGGGAATGAGTAAAGAAGGTGTCTTTAAACACCTCTCAAAATGTCCAGGTTTTAGCAGAAGGAAAGAAATCTGTAATAGGAACAAGGCTATCAGTTTCACTTTGGGATGAGAAAATAGGACAGGGAAAAACAAATACAAAAATCTAGAGCACACATTTATATTTATCTGTGAAGAAACGATACAGAAGATTGGTATCAAGCAGCTCAGAACAGTTTCTTCTGCGACCTGTAATTGCTTTGTGTTAGAGCTCAGGCCCTGTGACACCCTTTGCAATAAAGCAAGGGATAAGTTTGTTAAATGAATAATGTGTCTTTGGGAAATCATCAGGAAAAATCTTTGGATGAAATCCAAAGAAACAAAAGAGGTTTTTAAAAAGAGAAGGAGAGAGAGGGAGGGGGAAAGAATGGAAGGGGGAAGGCAGGGAGACAGAGGAGAGACAGAGAGAGAGAGACAGAGAGGACAAGGAAGGAAAGGGAAGAAAAAAGAATAGAAAAGAAAAAAGAAAATCAAAACCTTTGGGATGAGTTGTTTCTGCAGCTCAGGTCCTGTGTGGGGAATATTAGAAGACTGATTCTATAACCAAGGGCAAGTTCAACCAGTACAACTTCATCACACAGTGTTTTCTGATTGCTCCACAGAACCTAAAGGACAAAAGGTTAGCAAACACTCAAAATTACTGGTCACATTAACCTTTAGCTTTTCAATCCTTGTTCTCAAGGGAAGCCTAAAATTTGGGGCCTGAGTTGACAAAAGGCAGATTCAGTGAATTATTTATTTTGCTCTTTTTCATCTGGGCATCCACATTAATGAGTGGATTCATTTGGTGCCATTTTTGTTCCCTTTACAATTTTGGTCATGAAAATTAAGAATCATAATTCTAATATCTCACCCAGTCTGTGAGTAATAGCAGAATGCTTTACTGCCCTGACCTTTCCAGTTTTCTAAGTTTTGATTTGCTGAGTTCTTTCCGCCTCTTTCTTGCAGTTTACTTATTATAATTATTAATGAGGAAGCAGAAAAATGGCCATTCAGTCAAACTTTGGGGAGTAGGACATAATAAATGGTCTCTGTCTAGGATCTAGCATTTGCCCCTAAATACAGTAATTATTAGGTTGCTTGATGATATGCTGAGTTTTACAGGCTCTTATTAGGGAAAGAAAAAGAACATAATAAATCCACTAATGTGGGTAATGACTGGTATG